TGTCGAATAGAGGGGAACGATCACCTTGCCAGAGGCTGGCTCTAGGGGAGCTTGTGAAGGGGCCGGTTCTCCGTGCTGTTCCTGCGGTGTGGGAGGACCTGGCGGACTAGAGCCCCAACCCCAGTAAAACGGGGATTCGATTGCAATCAGAACAGCTGGTCTCAGTCACTGGGCACGCTGCTCCAATCGCTCCCACGCTCAGAGCAGTCCTGCCAGTGGGGCCTTCGCTTCCCAGCCCCGGTAGCCAGAGCACGCCGACAAGTCCAACGGAAGCCATGGCGCGCAAGGGGAGGAGCGCTGTGCTTTCACTGCGGCAGCCGCTCGTTGTTGCTAGAGTAGAAACGTTTAGATAAGTTTGGAGGCAGATTTTCCCTGTGAAACGTTCTTGTCGGTTGTGGTCCAGGCCTGTGTAGGCGCCAATAGGCGGGGGCCCCATTGTGCTGAACAGGCACAGAGCAAAAGGCAGTCGCTGCCCCAGAGAGCGCCCTGTCCACACATGGGCCAACTAAGTTCTATTCCTGACTCTGCTGGTGATCTCTGGTGGCCACTACCCTTCTGCCCACGTGCGAGGGTATCCCCGAGAACTGCAAGGCGTGGCTGCTGTGTGCGTAGCACCGGGAGATCCCGGCTGCTGCATCGCTTTGCTTGTTGTTACAGCCCTGACTCTGCCCACATGGATCTGATGGCAGGACCACGCCCTACATCCCCAGCTGCTGTTTGCCCCCTTGGCCCCGTGCCATTCCCTGGGGTTCTCATTCCGTTCGTGTTCTTCCCCTTTCCAGACCAAAGCTAGAGGTGTCCCGCGTGTCCAAGAGGAGCATGTTCGCTCTGTTCCAGCAGCTCTGTGCCAAGGCTGACCGCAAAGACCTGCAGAGCCTTGCGCTGTACTCGGATGCCAAGGAGGCAGCCGGGGCCTACCAGGGAGCCAAGCGGCACTTCTTCAGGGCGCTGGAGGAGATGAGCTATGGGAGTTGGATCTGCAAACCCCAGGAAGAGGAGAACTTCTCTCTCGCCGAGGCGTAACAAGCTGCCCTCTGTGTGTGTGTCTGTGTGTTCCTTTGGTTTTCTTTTTTTGATTTTTTAAATGGAGCCAGGAATGTTGAGTAGGAGTGTGGATTTCCCCTGGGTCTCTCCTCCTTTTGGTTATCCTGGCAGTACACGTTGATTCTGCTGGGAGGGACTCCCGCGTTCAGATTGCATTCTTTCTACGTGAGTGTACACAGCACACGAGAGAATCCACACTGTCCACACATTTAAATGAAGCCACAGGCGAGCCCGCTCCCGTGTCCCTTCATCACAGCAGTTGGGGGGAACGCAGCTTTTCGCTTGTCAGATGCATTGTCTCGATTGGATCCTTTTAAACAGTATGTGTGTACTTCCCAGCGTCTTACCCTCTCCCAAAACTCTTCCCTCTGATTTGCAAGATGATTCCTGCAGCTATTGGCAAAACTCCCCGGGACTTTTCCTTCCCAGCAGTCCTGCTGGGTGGGCACAAATCGGTTTGAAGACAAGGTGATCTCTTGCAGCTGCTATTTAATTCTGGGATCTGCCTGTAGGGCATAGCACAAGCCGGGTGGGATTCAGGGCTAGTGGCAGATTGCATGTACTACCTGATCTAGATCCCCATAGTTAGCAGGCATATTCCTGGCTTTGGCGTGGTAGCCTCGTCTGACATACCCTGTTGATTATGAGGGTTGGGGCTTGATTTCTGGAGTCCTGCTGAGATGGGCCATTCTAAAACCCTGCCTGACACTTCCCCCTGCGAGGGGGGCGAGTGGCACCCGAGGGTGGGGTGCCCCAGACTTGCCAGGTAGGGTGACACCACTTTAAGATGCACGTCAATGAAGTGGAGCGTTTCTTCCTCACCCCAGACACCCCTTCGGACCAGTTTCATGACTAGCCCATGGCTGGTTCGGCCGCAGCACAGCCCCTTTTACTGAAATGGGACCAGGGATCTTTTCGAGCCTGGCCTCTGTTTTTAAACCGTGCCTTGAAACGGTCATGAATTTTATCTTGTCTACAGGCCTCGGGCCCCCCAGCCTCTCCTCTTGGTTGTTTGCAGGAATCTAAGACGCCTTCGTGGGTGATGGGATCTAAGGCAGGTTCTGTCTGTGTTGGGGACGCAGATTGGTGGCTGTGCTCCCGCCTGCCCTCTCTGCAGGCCTGTGTCTGGGCAGCCCTGGGGAATGGGGATCGTGGGGCTGCCTGCCAGCACTGGGCTGTCAGGGCCAGCAAATCCCATCCAGCCTGCCTAGAATCCCAGGCCCCGGGTTACAGGATCAGCTTGCTCCAGAGGTCGGTTGCGTTTGGCCTGAGCTGGCCTGGGCTTTGTCAGAAGCTAGTCTGGGTTAGCCTGGCCCTGGGGGAAGGGGCGAATTGAGTGGTGCTGTGAGCAGTCAAGTGCTGCGCGGGGTGTACGTTGCAGTGCGGGAGGCTGGGGGCAAGGTTAGGGGGCGGGCTGCCCCTCTGAAGTCATTGAAGAGAAACCCAGACCTGTTCCTACTCCACAGTTCTGGCATCTCCTTGTGCCGTCTCCACCCCGCCCCCATTTATTTTATTTGTAATTCGTTGCACTGTCAGCGCGTCGGAGCAATTCCCGCCGTGCATCATTTGGGGACTGTCTCCTGCAAACTCGTCCTACCCCCGCCCCCTTTCTTTTCTGTCATGTCGGATTCCTTCTCTTGTCGCACTGGCTCTGGAGAGCTGAATGGAAACAAATGTAAATTTATTCATGGGAGAACTGTAACCCTCCTTTTTATTTTATTTTAATTTTTGTAAGTCTGCTTTTAAGTGCCCCTCAGTATCGATGAAATGAAGTCCTAACATTCCGCATAAAAATAAAAAAAATTCTGTATTGTTAGACAGCTCCGCTCTGTGGGTTGTTTTAATTCCTGGGACACAAACAGTGGGGCCAAAGCTGGTGTTAATTTAAATGGCAGCGAGCATGGAGAT